CGTCTATTTATTACAATCTACATGTGATTTAATTATCTGATTCCTTATATCTGATCGACTCACTTTTTTCTATGCATATTCTTCTTAAGTAATGTTAGAGAATCCAAAAATTCTACCAAATATCTCACATGGGGTGTGGGACCCACACAATGTGACTCCCATGTGGGTCTCACACCCATGTGAGACATTTAGTAGAACTTTTGATAGCATTTTTGGGGTAACATTTTTTATTCTTCTTAGCTTATTATGTGAGATGAATGACTTAGATCACTAAATAGATACAAATTGGTCCCATAACACACCAACTTCACTTATGAAATTGAAATCTTCAATTTTAGCAAATTTGAACTCTTACTCGTTTGGGAATAAATTATTTTAGTAATTTTTTGATATTTTTGCTAAAATATGAGATTAAAAAAATTAATATGTTTAGAATGATTTTTTATTTTTTTCACTAAAAGATATGCAAAAAGTAGAGAAAAAAAGAGAATCTTCGACTTTTTTTTGTATAATTTGTTGGTTTTTTGAAAATTTTAATAATTTTTTTGACTTTTAGACTTAAACGTTAGGTTTCCAAATGAGGCCACCACTACTGTACCACCATCGGCGTCATTGTCACCACCACTATTATCATTATACTATCACCTTCTAAACCGTCGTTACTACCACCGTTACTTCATTGCCATCCCTACCCCTCCACCTTCACTATCAAGTTGTGACTTGTACACCTACCACCACCACACAATTTTTTTACCTTGTCAAATAACTTTTTAAATTTAAAAAAATTAAACAATATTAAAATTTTAATACTTAGGAGTTGTTTGGAGTGTTTTAAATAAGTGCATTTTTTATCTTTTTGGACTAAAAAGTTGAGGGAAAAAAGGTGGATATTTGAGTTAATTTTTTGTCTTTTTACGAAAAAATGTGTAATAAAAAATTGTATAAATAAATGTATAGGAGAAGTAAGTGTAATAGGCTGTATGACACCTTTTTCTGGGTAGAGTGTAGGAGATAAGGACATGATTGCCTCTTTCGCGAGCAACCATTTGGACTGTGCTGTTCGGCTCGTAGGGCCCACAACGAGTCCCATTTTGATAATATGAACCGTTCAATATGTAAAACTCGTCGAGTACCATATGCCTATAAAAAATCACATTGATCAAATATTGAAATCACATTGATCAAATTAGTTTTTGTTCACCAGTTAACTATAACACCATCTTTTTTTTATACAAAACTAATTTGATCATATAGTTAGTGATATCCGATCAACGTGATTTTTTATAGACATATAGTACTCAATGAGTTCTACATATTCAACGGTTCAGATTATCAAAATGTGACTCGTGGTGGCCCCCACTAGTCGAACAACACAGTCTAAATAGTTGCCTAGGAGGCAATCATTTCTAGACCAGCACAGCAGACTAATTACGCAGACAGCCTATCACTTCAACAAAAAGTTGAGTTATATTTTTTTATGTGTAAATTTATTTATTTTTTATTTTTTTTATGAATAGTGATAAATTTTTAACTTTTTAAGTAACTTTTTGACTTTTTATTTTTTTTCAAAACATGTCAAACCAGACCTTAATTTTCACTTTTGAAAATTAATTTATAATTTCACTATACAGTACTATTCAAAAAGCACCCAAATCAAGAACATTGACCATCAAATCAACTCACCATGCGGGAGATATAAAAATACAAAAATGATTTGGACCACAAAACAAAGACGTCTAATCCATCTCTAATTTGTCTTTTTCTTCCCTCTTTTTTGTCTTTTACTTCACTGTTTTTTTTTTGTTTTTTTTTTATGATTTGACAGCTCATTAGAGCTGCACTGTTGCAGCTCTAATTAGAGCTCCGGAGCATGACCCATAAAAATAACTCATTTCTATATGGAAAAGGCCACTGTTGTGCTTTTGAGCACATTAGTGACTGTGGTACTTTTATTTGAGGTGTATTATAACTTTATTTTTATGATTAAAATTATTAATTTTGTAAAGTTTGTTAAGTATTTCATACTTACCAAAAATCATATTAATCGGATATTAACAACCATATAATCAATAATCAAAAAAATAAATAATAAATTTTTCTTTTGAGAAATAGTATAAACAATATGCGATTCGATCATATAGTTATTGATATCCGATTAATATGATTTTTGATAGACATAAAGTACTCAACAAACCTTATAATATAAACAGTTTAAATCATAAAAATAAAATCATAATATACTTCAAACAAAAATACCACAATCACTGCTGTGCTTTGAGCACAGCAGGATCCCTGTTCCTTTCTATATCACTATTCTCAATTCCCTTTTATACTTTATTTTGTGAGTTCATTACGGGCCACAACAATAAATTGAGTTGTTCATCTCTTAAATTTCGCAATTTTATTTGTCTAAAAAAATCAACTTTATCAGATAATGATGAATAGGTAAATAAATTGAATTTTTTTATATTTGTAAAATGGATGATTTAAGTTTAAACTTATAATTATTATTCATTTTAAAGAATTTAAATTAATTTGTTCATGTGGTTAGTGATGTCAGACGAAATTGATTTTTTACACAATTCATCTTTACTGCTTAGTTTACGAGATACACAATTCAGATCATCGTTATGAATCTGAGATGAGACTCACAAAATAAAGTGTAGAAAAATATAAAGGATGTTAGTATAGAGGGAAGCCACTCCTCCTGCTTCCATCGAACAATAAATTTCATTTTATTCACACACTTTCAAATTAGGTGAACAAAAACAAGGAGATTTTTTTTTAGGGTCTCTGATATTAAGATTTTATAACATACAGGACATCTAATATTTTCATAATATCTAAGGTTCCTCAAATCGATTCAAAGAAAATTCAATCCAAATAAGAGAATTTCTCTGGTCCAAACCAGAGAAAATTCAATTCAAACCAGAGAATTTCAATCCAAACCAAAGAAAATTTAATCAAAATTAGAGAATTTCTCTAGTCCAAATAAGAGAAATTCAATCCAAACTAGAGAAATTCTCTATGATTCAATCAAGACCTTATTGAACTTCGCCTCCTGTAGCTTTCACTTCCACTATAAATGACAAGAAACAAAACAAAGTCATCAACTGCTTAAAGGATAAATGAGATTTTCTCAGGACGAAAAAATGATGATACTGCAAAAGAACAAAGCAGATTGGTTGCCAATGACAACAATGGTGAACCTCGCTATAGACAGAAGCAACACGGCTGGTTGACGACACCGGAGACTTTGCGGCAGAGAGCTTCAAAAATGTCGTTGATCTACATTCTCATCTCCCATTAGCCAACCTAGAAAGTGAAAAAAAATGGAACCACCACCACCACCACCACAATACACGAAGCAGTGATCGTATGGAGAATGAGGGCGAGGAGGAAAATGAGGACGAGGAGAAGGTCCAACAATGGGGATGATGGCGACATCGTCGCAGCAACACTCCATTGACAACGACAACGATCATAGCGGCGAGCTCAAACTCTAGTTCCACGGCGTTGAGGCGGTGGGGAGAGACGAAATAAGGAGGGCAAAGAGAAAGAAAGAAAAATGAGGTTTGATTTGACAGAGTGAAATTTCTCTGTGATATATAGTTGTGGGGTTGATAACTTTAGATATCATAAAATAATATTGTAGATTTCTTCTATTACTAAAAATGGAAGAGGAACCTTAGACTAATTTGTCTCAAAAACAATTCTAGAGAACCATAATTCACCTACAATGACTTCACAATGAAATTTGAACTTATATGATTGAATTTATGACAAATCAAAAATTAATACAAAACTTATCTTCTTACTATAAGTAAATTATGAGAGACTTTTAGGGGTCTTAATATTTTTTTAATAAACAAAATACACCACTTAATTGGTTTAAAATTACAAGATCTATAATTGGATAGGTTCCGAACTTTCAAATAATGTGTTTCGTTTATATATTTTAAAAGTGTGTACGCAAATTCAATAGGATAAAAATTTGCCATGTCATCTTTTTAGATTTGAAATACTCTCTTCGTTACAAAATAATAATTCTTTTTATGGAATTTAACTTTTTTTATAGTACAATTATTATATTTTTAAAATATTAATTTTTTAAAATTACTTTTTGATAGTACATTTTTTTGTCATAATTGTACTTTTTATATCATTAATAAATTTAAAAGAATGATAAAATAGTAAATTCATATTATTTTATTCATTAATTATTAAAAAGAGACTAATATTTTAAAATAATAAAAAAAAATTAAAAAAATTAATATTTTGAGACGGAAAAAATATGACAAGCCATGCCTTATTGCATTTTTTCAAAATTTTAATGGATGTCAATATAATTCACCCAATTCAGTACGATGCACGCTCGCAGTCCCCACTTGAAGATTTCAACAATCCATCTATCGCTAAAAGACAAACAACAATACTTCACTCCCCATCAATTTATATCCTATTTAAATATCGTCTTATACGACACAATTACAATTGTTATTGCATTAACAATTATGATTATATCATATAAAATGATATAATGATATAAGACGATGGGTTATTGAAGAATTTCAACCCCTAATAAAAAATGTTTGGTAATTTAAAATTGAATAATGTTTGGGATCTTTTTTTGGGGTCACCCATTCATTCCTTTCGCTACGTGACAGGTGGTGATTGGAGGAGTAGGAAAAAAAAGAAAAAGAAAAAGAAAATATAACTAATGAAAGAGAGAGGGGGTCAAAGGGGTGGGGAAAAAAGGGAATGAATCATTGTTGTTTAAAATTTTGTAATTTAAATAGTTTAAATTTATTAAAACGATATCGTTTTATTTCGTTTTACACTTAAATTAATGTTATTTTAAGTGATTTGAGCCATTTGAGTCATAAAATTTTAAACTACACAGTATTGTTGATAAAAAAATATCTGGTACGGCTGACACGTGCGAGTATACAAACCCTTTGCGCCGCCCGCTCAAATAGACTCCTTACCTGGGAATCAACCGGTGGGGTCCCATTGGACATTGTCCCAAGTGTATCCCCGTTGGACTACACGCGTCACTTCCTGAACGGCTTGCTGGGTTTCCCAAATTTACCAACTCTGCCACTTCGGCCATCGGAACCGGATGACGACGAATCATGTCCTCACTCCCCACTCGCATCCTTCCTTCGTCCTCCTCACTATAAATTAAAGCCCTCGAGCATCCTCAAGATTTTCACTCCTAAATGAAAAGCATCGAAGAGAAACTTTTCTGATTATCGATTTCAGGGAGAACAGTGTTCTAGGGTTAGGGTTTTTGAAGAGAATGGGGAGAGGGAAGGTTCAGTTGAAGCGAATCGAAGATAAGAACAGTCGGCAAGTGACATTCTCGAAGCGACGTACCGGATTGATCAAAAAAGCTCGCGAACTCTCCATACTCTGCGATGTCGAGATCGCTCTCATCGTCTTCTCCGCTAGAGGCAAGCTCTACCAGTTCTGCACTGGCGACAGGTACGCACTTCTCTCCTCTCTTTTTTTGATCAGAACTTCTCTCCTCTCTTCGATCGTTTCTTCCTCGGTCTTCTGCGTTAACTCAAAGGTCTTCGCTTCACAACCTGTAGTCCATTCCATAGTTCTGTACGGTTTAAAACTCGCTGGCCGAGAATTTTTTTTATTTTTTATTTTTTATGTTGAATATATTTGGTGTAATATCTTCGAGTCTTCGACGAAGATGATTTGCTTCGTCTTCCTCAATATTTTAAATTTTTTTGGTTGAAAAGTCTTCGTTTTTTCGTTGCCGTTCGCTTTAACGTACACATCTGGATAGATACAAATCCTAGTTCATCGATTTTCAAGCCCGAGGCTAAATGCTTTGTGTGTATGTATAGGTGGTTCTGTCTCGTGTGTAGCGTCCTGTTCCATTAAAAGAAACATTTTTTCTATTCCATTTTCGTATTACATTCACTATTGATGAGTCTTTTCAGTCCACGTCTATCACTGTGCAAGAAGCCTTTTTTTTAATTATTATTTACACATTTGTACGTCTCATCATTTCTATTGCAAATTGATTACTGTTACTGACGTTTACTTAATTGTTTGTCTTTGCAGGTAATTTACTTTTGATATCTAATTATTAATTATGCGACTCGCTTTGTTTGAGATTCTTCATCATTGTTATATTGCTAGGATTTTTATTAGCATGTGTGGATTGCTAAAATTACACTATTGCCAATTGTTTTTAATTGCGCACTAGATCTATCAACTGTTCATGACATCCCTAACTGTGCCTAAACTTTGACATTTTAGATTTATTGTACTTATTACATTTGTAACTTCTACTTAAAATTATTGTGGGTACATGTTATAAATGAATTGTTTTTGCGAACATTGGCCTTTATTTAGAGTTAAAGAAGCTCTAACATAAGTATAACAAAAAAAAGTATTGGTTCAATGCAATGTTTTACAAATTTGGCACAAAAGAGAAATGATAACATCTAAATAACAACAAGAAGTGTTTTTCATTACTTGAATTCAATTATTTACTTATTTAAATGAAGAACAAGAGTTTAAGTACTTTTGAATTTTTGATCCCGTTTGCTTTAACTTAAGAAGGGTGCTTATGATTTTTCATTTTTTAAAAACTTTTTTAGTATTAGGTGCAAGTTTGTAATGTTTACTATTTGACACAAATGGGGAAACCACGACAACTAAACAACTGTCCAATGACAAGTGTATTTATTACTTGGGCTAGATTGTTTACTTATATATATGAAGAAGAGTTTAATTGAGTTTTGGAATCAACCAACTTGTTTGGTGAACTTATGAAGGGTGCTTATGATTATTTATTTTTAAATAAATTATTTTGAAACTTGTCATGGTATTAGGTGTAAGTTCTTGTTATAACTTGTCAGAATTGTTATCAGACCAAGAATCTTTTTTCTAAAACATTGAATTGTATCGAATTATGAACCATTACTTTATTTAGTGTGGGTGTTTGGAAAGTTGATTTTTTTTTTTAGGGTTTTTTAGTAGTAGGATATTATTGGAGAATTTTTTTTTTTGTGTTTGGGAAGATATTTGGATTTTTTTTGTGGTTGGATGTGATATTTGTGAGAGAAAAAGTGAAATGATTATGGGGTTTGATGTGATATTTTGTTTGGATTTATTTTTTTTGGTTTTGTAAGCAATTTGTCTTTTAGTGAAAAAAAATAAAAAAAAAACCACAAAAAAATCCTTTTCAAACACCGCCACTATATTTCCATGTATAGTATTTAATCACTCTTTGTTTATTTTTTCAAAACAATGTTGTTTCATGCATAATGCAAATCGAACTAAATCGTTTGAAATCATAATGAATAAAGATTGAATCGTAATATTCACTTAATTTAATATTCAACTGCACGAATCAAATTGTTTTGCATGAGACTCGTATTGAATTGTATAAATCAAATCGTAAATAGTAAGATTTTAACCACCACACTAGTGAGGCAAAAATGATGACTTCTTTGGTTGCAAGTTTAAAAGTCAACAAATAAATCAAGACTAAAATAAGTAATGTTATTTGACACATTTATGTCTTTTAAACTTTTGTAATGGTTAAAATAAATAATGCTTTTGATGTAGCATTTGCTTTGGAGTAACTTCAACTTATTCATATTCTAGGTTGGAACTAAATTAGATACATGTTCTAAATTAAAAGCTCTTGAAAACATTTAACTTTATTTTGAATTAGGAGAATTTAACATTAAAAAAAAATAAAAAAATGATTGGGTGAAATACAATGTTGGCAAGTTTGGCACAAGTGGAGAAACCATAGTTGCTAGTGTTTTCATTGCTTGGGCTGGATTGTTCACTTATATAAATAAGAAGTTGAAGAATTTAAGTACTTTTTGAGTTTTGGAATCAATGATCTCGTTTGCTGCCATTTATGCTGGATGTTTATAATTTTTTTTTGTTTTGGGAGTTTCTGTAAAAGTATTTAATGTAACTTTTGATTACAACTTGTGAGGCAAAAATGATGCCTCCTCTAGTTTTTACTCATAAATTGACTTTTAAACTAGCTTATAAGTAAAAAATAAAACAAAGCTAAAGTAATGTTATTTAGCATATTTATGACTTTTGTAATGGTTAAAATAAACCTTGCTATTTGATGTAACACTTGCTCAACAAATAAATCAAGACTAAAATAAGTCATGTTAGTATAATTATAACTTATAGAATTTTGTAATAGTTAAATGAGTAATTCTATTTGATGTAACATTTACACATAATTAAGTTTCTCAGCAATGTATTTCTTATATATACATATATACTCAGAACTTGGAGCAAGGATCCCCTATCCCCAAATATTCCTGTCTCTCTGTCCCAAATCACTCACAACCACTGGATTATATGAGAATCACAAGATTTGAAAATCTCAAAATATATCCAATGGTTATAAGTGATTTGAGACAGGGAGAGAGGGATATTTGGGGACAGGGGATCCTTGGGCTAGAACTCGTTTAGGTACAAGTTGTATATTAAAACATCTAATTCTATTTAGAATAAGAGAGTTTAACATAACTATAATAAAAAGTTGATTGGGTAATCTTGGCAAATTTAGCACAAATGGGGACACCCATCCCGATTATGAAGGAGGGTTTAAGTACTTTTGAGTTTTGCTATCAATGACCCCATTTGGTGCAATTTAGGCAATATCTTATTTCAAGAGTTTATATTATAGTATTAGTGTAGCTTTTGTTTACAACTTCAAAGAGAATAATGACTTAAAAAAATGTTAATTGTTGAGACATTGAGGAGACTCTACACCAAATGGGGTTGTATACCACAAGGTCAAGAGAAACTTCCAAAAGATATTATGATTTATTGAATAGAATACTGAGCAATTCAAGAATAACTTGTTTAGCAATTTAGTGGCACAAATATGTGCTGAGATGAATGTGTGATAAGATATGGAAATATTTACAAATGAGCAGTCTTGTTGGGGATAAAATTCCAAAAATATGTTAAAGAGGTTTGAATGTGTGTGATGGAGATCACTTATTGCCCCATTAAAGAATAATGACATAGTCTACACAAAGATAATACTGAGCAAGAAGTGATATATAATTGAATTGGGTAGATGTTGTGATGAGAAATATGGCAAGTGCTATGTATTCATGATAATTGGAACTTGGAACATGGTTTTGAGTCGGTTTTATTATCTCGTCTTTTAATGTGTATGCAAGTCAAGATTTCCATAGGATATCACTTGGATTGGATTCTCGACTCATTGAATATCTAAAAGAAGTGGAGGGGGGTTGGTCTTGGCTTTGTTTGGAGTTTGATAGGAGTTTTCCATAAAGATGGGGTGAGAATCATGTTTGGTTGGTAGGGAGGTAGGGTGGGGAAGCAAAAGGTTGGACTTTTAATTCTATTGTGTTTGATGTGACTTTTATATGTTTGATGTGACTTTTATAGATAAAAGTACTATGGGAGAATCTTTCAAGATATAAAATAGCCTTGTATAGACGAAATATTTTTTGTTTTTGCCATTTTGTATATTTAGACTTTGGAAAATTTTGCATACCTTTTTTGCCCTCTGAGTGTATAGGTTTTATTTTATTAGTTTCTTATATGTTATTATGGTATAACCTTTTTGCATAGGGACAACATTCTCAGTGATGCTCTTTTTATGAAATTTGCTTCACCTAACAAGCCTTTGTTCCAATTACTTTGGGTTTGTTATATGAATCTATTTCCTTCAAGTAGTTAGTTAACATAATCATGTTGCTAATGAAGTGTTCGAGAATCTATTTCCTTCAATTAGTTCAATTTGTAGTCAGGCTGAGTTTAGTTAACATAGTCCTGTTGTTAATGAACTTTTCTGTACTTGTTCAAAATAAATAAATTTAAAGCATTGCCACCTTTAGTGGTCATAATACTTCCAATGCAAGGTACTAAATTGAGAGGAAAGGCTTTCAACTGTAATGTAAGGGTAACTATTTTCTGATACATGAATTGAACTATTTCAATCATTACTCCAATTGGGAGTCTTTAAAATAGTATGGCTTTTGACTCCCTGGTAGTTCTCATGATTTTAGGAGTGAAATTTGTAGTTTCATATGTTGGATGGGGATTTCAGGTTTTATGAAGTCTATAACTAAAGGTTTTATTGGTGAAAAATGTGGGCACCTACTAATGATGACAAAATTCAATATAAATAGACCCTCTATCCCCCTCTCCAAACAACTAAAAAGAGGGTCATTTTTCATTGTTTCACAAACACAGCAACTCCCCCCCCCACAAAAAAAAAACAACTAAAAAAAGAAAAGGCCATTTGATTTTCCTATTTATGTCCAAACAACTGAAAAAAGAAAAAGGCCATTTGATTTTCCTATTTATGTTTAGACTTTCCAGTAGTCATTTCTCTTCTCTCATAAATTTCCCTCAACTTATCCAATTTTTTCTTTTTCTTTTCAATTTTGACTATCTTCTCTTGTCTTATCGTTTTGTTTTTATCTTTCTTCTGCAACAGAGGTTAAAATTGAGTAGATGATTATCTTTGTTGCTCTAATGAGTCGTCATTGATTAAATATTGGAGGCTTTCTTTGGGGGATAGTCCTAAATCATAACTTTTTGGGCCCTAGAGATTAAGATGATTGATAAGAGATTGGAAGGCTGGAATAGGGCAATGCAATAAAATAGGGATGCTTACTTTGGTACCCGTCAATTTTATGTAGTGTGCCTATCCACTACTAGTCTTGTTTAGGATTTCGATAGAAGTGGCTAGTAAGATTGAAAAGATGACAGTAGATTTTGTAGGAGTGGATTGGTGATAGGAGAAAGGATCAATTGTTTAGTTGGGTGGTTGTCTCACTTTCAAAGGGTGAAAAGGGTCTTGAATTAGGAAATATTTATACTAAGAACAATTCTTTTCTTGGTAGGTGATTTTGGAGATTTCTTATGAAGCGTGATGCTTGTGGTATGTTGTCATTAAAAGCAAATATCATTTCTAGAACAATGATTGGGACTCTTGACAATTCAATGTTGACAGCTTATTTGAATTGAAGGTTTTACATGGTTATTGCTATATGTTGTCCATAGTTTATCTAAAGTGGGGGCTTTAGAGTTGTGTTAGGAGTTTACTATTTTGGAGGCTAAACCTTAATTGAAGTGAGAAATTATTAATTTCTCAATTTAGTGGACGAGTGAAATTTATATAGTGAAGTTCCATTAATACAATCTTTAAGGGGTGTATATTAAGGATTCTAGTTGGGATTTTATATTGTCCTTTTTCGCCTCTTTTTTCTTTTATATGTTTTATTTATTCTTTGTTCTTGATAAGTAAATTTGACGTAAAAACTACACCAACACAAGGGTGCAATGCCCAAATATTCCAAAAGGTCAATGAAGGATGAAATAAATAAAATGACAATTTTGTCATCGAAAAAGGGAAACATGCAAAATTCCCTTAAGGTATATATGTGAAATTTTGAACCCTCAAAAGAGGTACTACTTTCCTTCCAAATGCACCACATCACACACAAATATGGCATCTCCTACTCGATCCCAAAAGTTGATTAAATGAAACTTCATAATCCATTTGCCACTAGACAAGCAAGTGATTCACACTTTTTCTTGCTATCTTGCACATGCAACGCCATTTCCTAATCACTTTGTGTCTCATTCAAAGGTCGTCTATTATTAAAATAACATCATGTGTTAATGTCCATGCAAAGAATGCAACCTTAGAAGGGGCCTTAGTTCTACAATTCCCTTTATCGGGGAAAGCAAGCTTCCCAAGACTACACAAAAACTACTCAATGAAGCAAACGAAGAATGTCCCACTACTTGAAACTGTTTAAGTCATCTCATTTGAGTTCCCTCTATAAACCAAGGAAAGGGTCATGTTGTTAGATAGTTTGATATATATTGTTGGACCTATTTCCTATCAGCTTATGCTTTTGGGACAATTGGTGACTTAACATGGTATCAGAGATCAAGTTGAGTGAGGTTTTGAGTTCAAATCTCTCTGTTGCCATTTGGTATTCAGTCTCTGTTGTTTGCTTCTCCTTTTGCTTGGTTATTTGTTTGCCTTTTCACATGCAAGACAAGGTTGCATGTAAGGGAGGGTGTGTTGGATAGCTTGATATCCATTGCTGGCCCCATTTCCTGATAACTTAAGCTTTTGAGATAATTGGTGACTCAACATGATACCAGAGCTAAAGGTTAAGAGAGGTCTTGGTTTCAAATCTCTTCGTTCGCATTTCATATTCTGTCCCCTTTAGCTTCTTCTTCTCTGTTTGATTATTTGCTTCTCCTATTTGGTTATTTGTTTGTCTCTCCATCGCTAATGTTCAAGCTCTGATGCAACCAAAGCAAACGTGGAAAACAATTGTCCCTCGTAATTCTAGATATACAGTATCTACCAGAAATTGCCAAACCTCATAACGAATGTGATACTCCTATAAAATTCATTAGATTTCACAAAAAAGAAGACAACGGTATGTCCGCCAAATTTGAAACAAAGGAGACAACGGTGTGTAAGCCAAATCTGAAACTTGGTTATGCAAGTCCTTAATTGATCGAAGCCTATAGTTTGTATGTCAACACCTTTTTCTCGTTGAAGAAGAAAGTGAAAACATATGAAGATACCTTTTTTCATTTTAAAAAAGTTTTGTAAATTTTATCATGACATGATTGTTGCTAATTGCAAAGACCTGGTTGCAAAAGTTCTTCTTTTGTGTTAGCTGGATAAAGCCTGCAAAGGTTTGCCACCTCTCAATCATGTAGGCAACAATGCTAATTCCAAGAATACTTGCAATTACCCACCCTAACACAAAAAACATAAAAAACTGGTATATGGAAACAAGAAACAGGTCACTCCTTCACAGTCTTGTTAGAGAGTCTGGAAGAAGAGCAGCAACTCTTGAGATTTTGTTTTAACTTTCTAAAGAGCTTCTCCATTTTTTTTAAAGTACGCAAAAAAGCTGAAGGAGAAATCTTGCTATCTGAAGCGATCACTTGATTATTCAACTTGATACTCAACTTCAATGGCACACCTCATACAGCTTCACAAATTGGAAGTGATTTAAGAAACTTCCCATGGAATTATAGATATCTTCTGGTTTCGTCAGCTCTTCTCTGAAAAAGGCGCAGTTCAAACTATCATATGAAAACTCTGCCTTGTGTCATTCAGCCATATGAGTGGATACTTAATATATAGGGAAGAAAACAACCAATGTAGTAGTAACCTCATACATCCAAGCAAATAAGTCAGCTGATTTAACCAAATACCAAGCTGCAAATCAATCTTCCAGTTGCTTAAAGAAAGGCAGGATTGTGTATTGGACACTAACCACTTGACCCTAAATTTTGGAGCAAGAGTATTTATTCTATAATCGTGACATGTTCTCCTAGATTTTTATGTATTTATAGTTGAGGGGAAGTGGCTGTCTCTAGTAATCTTTTTTTAACCTTTCTGATATAGTAAAAACCGCACCCAGTTTGGGGTGAACCACGTAAATTTTGTGGTTTTCGTGTGTGCTTGTTATATATCTTTCTTGTGAATTTATTTGTTTTTGTGTTTTCGTGTTTCACCGATCCTGGTTAGGTGTTTTAAATCCATCATCTTTAACAAGATGGAGGTTTGAGTTAAAGTAGTTCTTATGAGTAATTTGGCTCATCAGACCCATGAACTGTTTAGTACTACTGTGCTCAACTCTAGGGGTATTCTTCTTCTACTTGCGTTGCGTGTTGTGGAATGTCATTGATACTTTAATAGTTGTAATATACTTTTTCAAATGTGCTTCTTAGATTTATTTACATGATCTTCCATATCATGCAGTTTAAGAAAAGTCCTAGAGCGCTATCAGATTCACAAAGATGCAGAAGTTGCTGGCAGTAGTGTTCAAGAATCCAAGGTTTGGCAAATCATTGAGCTCCATATTTACAATTTCATTGTTCTTGAGACAAAGGAAAAGATTGAAGTAATTTGGCCAATTAAATTGAGATGTAGCTTTGAATTTCTGCCATTAAACACTATTCAGATGTGAAGTTGTGCAAATAAAATGGCAAAGATTATTTTGTTTTGTTGGTTAGAGTTGATAATTCTATAACAAACTGTAAATGCATTCAGAATGCAACTTCAAGGATGTCTACGGAAAAATAAGCTTATTTTGAAAACTTAAATTAAAAGAGAAAAGAAGATTTTTTAATGGTCATGTTCTAGAAGATAGAGGGGCCAGGGTTCTATTCATAGAGTGAATGAATAGAACCCTATTCATTCCAATCATTTAAAGGGGTACCGTTCTTTTTCATTCCTAGAGATTGGAAAGCAATTTGTGATGTGTTGGAATTTTTGTTTTGATGTAATTGCTGGTCTTCTTGAAGAGGACACCTTGTCCTCTCTCTGTTTTTGTTTTTGTTTCCTTTTTTCTTCATCAATAAAATTATTATGTTGCTGATCAAAAAAATAAAATAATAAAAAATGAAATGAATGAAGAGGCAAATAGGCAAGTGACAGTAATGTTGTGTTTGGTTGGGGGATTTGGGAAGGGATTTGGAAAAGGAAATGGAAAAGGTAGATGAAATGTGAATAAATTTTCACATAGTTTCACACACCTTTTCCCTTTCCCTTTTCAAATCCCTCCTCAAATCCATCAACCAAACACAGCATAAATGAAAACAATTATTTCTTTCCAGACAAACTCCAGCTCTTTTTGTCTGGAACTATTTCATTCGATGTTTAGTGAGATATATAATTTCCTCTTGTCCACGCTTGTTTTGCAATGGATATGGAAATATGTAATCCTAATTATATGTTTTTTTGCATTATTAATCCTATGCTATAATCCTCTTGATCAAACATGCCCTTAGTTTACTTTTGTTGCATCATAACTGCCTTATCAGCATTATAGAGGCACCCCTGTGATATCAGATGTTAAATTTTTATTTGAGTTAGATGGGGCATAGGGAATCTTACTATTAGTTTCACTTATCTCATTTGATACACTAACAGAAGCTTACGGAGGGATATATGGATTTCAGTAGAGGCACCAACCTACTTCAAATGGTTCAAAGGTAACACTCACAGTGCCAGATATCATGTTCTTGCATCTACATGTTTCACTAAAATGGATTTGTAAAGGTGTTTCTTTTGCACTTTTGCAGGCACTTTGAAGAGCAAAAGATTGAGCAGCTAGATGTGGCAGAGCTCACTCAAGTAGAACACCAATTAGATGCTATACTCCGCCAAACCAGAATCAAAAAGGTCAGTTTTCTAATACTCCTCCTGATTAACCCATTTAAAATTCCATCTTTAATTTTTAAACCACAACCTGGATGATTTTCAGTTCTTGGCCCATAGAAATAAAAATATGATTAGATTTCATTACATGAAGAGAATTAGAACATTGTCATACCTGATATATGAGAAGCAAAAGGCATTCAGTGAATCGACTATCAACAGTTCAATTTTGATATTGTGCAGGTACTGTACTTCTGAATTTTGAGATAAGACCTACCTACCAACCCCAATGAGCACCTAAATATCAGATACTAATGCCAAAAATTCATTTAAGAAGAAGAAGAAGAAGAAGAAACAAGATAAATAAAAAGGTTATAATGTGATGGATTGATGTCACAACCTGAGATGTTCATGAGTTCATATTAGTGACTGGCCATGCATCTACAGAATCTTTAGTTTACCTGTCTCAAATTAAAGATCAGAAGGTAATAGTCCATCAAAATGTGTGTTTACTTTGTTATAGTTGTCTTATATTACTAATGTGCTCCCCTGGTGTTTGTATCCTTATCTGGAATGAGTTGTTCATTATAATTATCATTTTTAGTATTATCTTCAGAGGGCATAAATTGCCTATCTTACCAGTGTTTAAACCATCATGTTTGTTTCTTGAAATCTAGAATTTGAAAAGCTATATAGGGGAATTAGACAAGTGCTAAATGCATATATCTTGCCACAATTATCTATATACATGTTTGATGGTCTATATTTTCATGTATGCTTGTATCAACCAATACAAAGGTTCACTAAGCAATTATGCTTGTAGACACTTGTTATGATTGAGGTTGAATTCTTTTAAATTTTGAAATTGGGTTGATTATGTAGTGATATGGTAAATGTAGAGTAAAACTAGGAAAGAAGGCTTGAAGCTAAAAACAGAGTTCAATGCTCAATTCTTGGAAGAATGAAACAAATTGAGTGTCTTATCATTCCTAAGATTAGTGTCATCTTTCCAGGTATCAATTGTCACTCATTCTTATTGCTATAGCCTATATGTTGATATTATAAACATGATTCTAAAATGTGTACTGAATTAAATTTCAAATTCACATGAAACTAACAAACTGAGAAGGCAACACAAACACAACCTGATTATCAAAAACTATATTGATGATGATGCTTACCAAACATTAATTATGTGCAGTCACAGCTAATGATGAAAGCTGTCACGGCTCTCCATGAAAAGGTATGTCGTCTTTAATAATTCTTCTCCCAATTTTACAACAAAAGAGAAAATTACATCTTTGTAAGAATTCCCTTCATTCTGCATCTGATCATAAGCACATGTTCAAGATCACCTCACTTTTTTTAATTAAATTTTCTTTAATTAAAAAAAAAATGAGGTGATGTTTAATCACTTTGCAAGAGAATTGTCATGCATACTGGTGTGGTGTGACATATGACAATATACTAATTGAAATGGATTTATTTAGTTAGTCTGCAATGTGTGTAGAATAGCTGGGACAGAGTATTATCCATACATAGAGTTTAAATTGAAGTGGGAAGGATTTCAGGGCACATCACTGCATACTGGTTATTTATTTATTACCTTTTAAAATCAAAGATCATTTGGATCCAAAACCAACTTCAAGCAATTGGGATTTGAGTGTGACTGTGTATTAGTTTCTTAAATCATACAGTTCTCAGAGCCATTAAACCTTAGGTGCCCTCTATAGTAACCCAATTTCTTAGATCCAGTTGTTGATGATGGTTTAGTTTTTTAAAGCTTAAATATATATATCTCTGATCAGTTATACAGATACGTTCTGTTTGTTTGTTTTTTCATTAGTACTTTAATGCTAGCAGACTACTAGAGTAGATTCAATGGATCAAAAGTCATACAAAGATATTTTTCATGTTTGAAAGACCCCAAAAGATGCTCAGCTTCACTGGTGAAGTTTTTAGCAAAATTTGTTTTAGTGTTTCTTGTAGTCTGAAGGCCATTGTACGCAAGAAAACCATCTCTGTGTACATATGATTGCAGTTAGGACCTTTTTAGATGTTCTTCATAATTCATGGGTTTATAAGTCCATATAGTTTTAACATGGTTTGTGTGGTTAGTCAAACTACTGAAATATAAGCTTTTTGTCTGACACGGGCATCATAGTCATTAACACAAAAGAACAAGTGAAGAACAACAAAAATATTAATGTTTCTGTGAACATAATTTGTTAATTATTGTCAAATAAGTCAATCTCTTAAAAGGTGTAAATGAATAATAGAATCTAAAACTTACTCTGTAGTAATAATATTAGGTTAAATTACACTTTATCCTAGATATGTTTGTGATTGGTTAGGGCTTGTTTTTTCTCCCCAATTTGGGGATGTCTTTTTGTATTCTTTGCATTATCTTGATGATTTCTTAATAAAGTTTGTTTATTTATCAACCAAAAAAAAAAAAATACACTTTATCCCTTTGAACTATCATTTGGTATCACTTTATTTCTCTCAACTAAAAAATACTCTACTTTGCTACTTTGAAATATTAATTTTGTGTCAATGTGAACCTTCTTTTAATTATCTGTTACATAAAATAGATGAAAAATTGAATGTTGTAAAATGTTTTCAAATGACTTTATTCATATCTCCCCCTTTTAGGCCATTTTAGGCTTTCTATAATATGTGAGGTGTCATGTGCAAGTGACATCAATTTTTCATTCATTTATATGCATATGGCCTTTTTTCCTAGACGGTCATTTTCAAAGGCTTTTTAGTTAATATTTATATTTAGCAGACTTTGTTATTGGCATTAACTTATTGAACCCATCATTTGGGTTCATAATAAATTTGAAGTTGCTCGTGCTATAGAGCATAGATCCTCGAGCATTGTACATGGATGTGTTGTAGGAGTAACTATATATTTTTTGGGTGGAATTGCCACAACATGTGCATTCTTCTTAGCAAGAATTACTGTAGTAAGAAAATGGCTAAGAGGATTTGAAAGGCATTGTGGCATTAAGATTTTTAAGGTTTAGCCAAGACTTAGCCCAAGATCCCACTAATCGTCGTATTTGGTATGATATTGCTACTACACATGACTTCAATAGTCATGATGATATACTGAGAAACATCTTTGTGAGAATATTTTTGCTTCTCACTTTGGGCGATTAACAACGCCACCCAATTAGTACACATTAATGTGTATTTAGGAGGGAAGACATTGAGTACACACCTAGCTTTTGACATAATGCATAAAGTGGTGGTCCAAGAGCCTTTACGGATGAGGCGTATTGTTCAAGCAATTTGGAATCCTCATTTTGGTCAACTGGCTCTAGAAGATTTTACTTGAGGCGGTGCTTTTGGCCTAGGCATTTATAATAATAATAATAATAATAGTAATGTGTTTGTGTTTTGACACATTTAGCTAGTACCAATCTTTTTAATAGTTCAAAAAAAAAAGGAAAAAAAAAAAAAATCTCTTGACCAGAATTTTCACAATTATCACTAAAGACTGAAAAAAAATAAAAAAATAAATAAAAATCACTAAAGACTTATTTTTCACAGAACAAACACAAGGAATAAACACCTTGTGCCTGTTTAATAATCTATTATATGAAAATTCCTTTGTGCGACTAGCACAGCTGAGGTGAGAATAGAAAGAATATACAGCCTAAACATATGATGTTGTAGGTTACATGACAGATCTCATGTGGAGACCAAAAGTGACAATACATAGACATATATACTTGCATATGTCCATGTTGGTTAATTGTGAATACTAATTAAAACTAGTATTTTTATGAACAGGAGGAACAGCCAAGAGGGGGAAGGCAATTAATGGAAAAAGAGGTATGGAAAAAAATGAAAAGAAAAAACGAAATTCCACCACTTTTAAGTGACACAGAGAACACTTACTGAACATGTTTGTGCATGATCAGATCACAGCAATGATCAATGAGGCCACCATGGACGACGATTGCCGCCGCCACCAGCAGCAGCAGACGCAGCAGGGGGACCCAGATATGGACCTGGAGCTGTATGGCTACACTAACAATACAAACAACAACAACAGTAGTACAGGTAGCGGCGGTGGTGGTGTGTATCATCATCTCCAACAAGAAGAAAGTATGTTTTATTTGCTTTGAAGGCGGCGCTGAAGAAGAAGAAGAAAAAGAAGAAGAAGCAGCAGCTATTACTATTATTATTATTATTATTATTAAGTTGTGTCATTCCTCTCGAAGGAAAGCAAATAGTGATGTTTTACCCTCAGCGCCACCTGGCTCATCCTCTACCTTTCACTTCTGCTGGTTCTAGTACGGTACATATATATGTTTGTGTGATATCTTTTATATGCCTTCGAATCAATAATGTTTGAGTTGAGAGGGGGGATCCAAATCCTTGTTCTCAACTCTATCTCGGACTTTGTTTTTCGGTTGGACCGTATAAAAAGCGTAAAAGGTGTTGGATACTTAATTAAATCTGGTGACTGGACCTGACCATGCCACCTGTATCCACGTGATTCTGCTTACTCTACTTCTTCTTCTTGTTGTCCTTTTCTCAACATTGGGCCAAGCTGGGAATATAATTAAAAGTTAATTTTTGACTTTTTTATTTATTTTAAATTATATTATTTTTTAAAATATTTTTAATATATTTTTAAAAAATTAAAAATAATTAAAAAAATTAATTTTTAACCAACTTTTTAAAATAACCTACTCCTTCCGTCCCAAAATAATGGTCCCTTTTGGGGATCTAACTTTTTTTGGTAGTACAATTATTGCATTTGAAAAAAGTTGATTTTCCAAAATTATCCTTTTGATAGTACATTTTTTGGGAATATCAATGCATAATTGTACTTTTTATGTTGTTTATTAATTTAAAAGAAGGGTAAAATAGGAAATTTATATTATTTTTGTACTTGATTTTTGAAGAGGGACTAATATTTTGGGACAATGAAAAATGGAATAAGGACTAATATTTTGGGACGGAGGGAGTATATATACTCGTTTCTGTTGGCAATTCGCTACGAGAATGAGGTCTTTTGACAGTGTTAACGAAATATAAAGTGATTTATGAATGAAATTTGTATATTCAATGACTAATATTTTAATTGTCTATGCACGGATTATCTTTATAATTATTTATATTATATATATATATATATGTGTGTGTGTTATGTGTGTGAATTGTGATTTTTGAAATTTTTTTTGGTACACAGAAGAAAGAATATAATAAATGCAGCATCTCTTTAATTAATTATTTTATGTTGTTTTTGTTCAAAATTTAAAAATAAGGTACTGGTAAAATTTATAACTAAATTACGAAAAAAAATTATTTCGAACGATATTTTTTGACTTCTATATAAATATTTTAAAAAATAAATCTAAAAAAAAGTAGTCAATATAATATTATGCATTAGTAAAAAAGATGTGGTTAGTAATTATGCATACATGAATTTACTATAGCTTTAATTTCAAATTTAAAAACATATATATATATATATATATATATATATATATTTTAAAAGCATTTTTTATTTAGTTTAGTATCAAAATGAAATTTTCTTAGCAAAAATGATAGTTATAAAATTTTGTTACAAATTTCAAATGTCTATTATTAAAAATTATATATACTTTTGTTTGCTTGCTTATTTTGGGAGTTTTGATATTTGATCTTTGTTCTACATTCATTATATTGTTTTATTTCTTTTTCTTTTTCTTACTTTTTCGCATGATACTTCTTTCATAGTGCATTTCTGAGTGTATTAGTGAAAACATCATATACTTAAAATGTACAAAATTACAATATATATATATATATAAAGTAAGTAATTGTCCAAAACTTAAATTACTTTAAGAAAAATAAAATAAAAAATAAAAACAAAAATGAAATTGTTTGAAATAGAAAATGATTTATTTATTTCTTAGCAAAAAAGATAGTTATAAAATTTTGTTACAAATTTCAAATGTCTATTATTAAAAATTATATTATACTTTTGTTTACTTGTTTGTTTTAGGAATTTTGATCTTTGATCTTTGTTTTACATTCATCATATTGTTTTATTTATTTTTCTTCTTCTTACTTTTTCGCATGATACTTCTTTCATAGTGCATCTTTGAGTGTATTAGTAAAAACATTATACACTTAAAATGTACAAAATTATAATATATATATATATAAAGTAAATAATTGTCCAAAACTAAAACTACTTTAAGAAAAAATAAAAAATAAAAACAAAAATGAAATTGTTTGAAATAGAAAATGATTTATTATTTAATTTTAATTTTTAAAAATAAAATTTTAAAAAAAACAAAGAAAACTATATAAAAAAAGTACAGAAATTAAACATAAAATGTAATACAAAAAATAAATGAATTATAAGATTTTCAAGAAGTGAGACTTACGAACAGTTTTTGTAAAATCTTGTCTATTCATATATTTCACCATGTTTGTTGGACGGACTAGATTAGCATTCACATGACTAATAGTCCTAGGACTACGAATCCGTTGGATTATGTATCCTATCTCAACTAATAGTCAAGTTTAAATAATTAGTCCATACTTCAATTGTTTAACCAATATCGATTAATAATTTTATTGGACTATTAGTCCATCCAAGCTCATGTCCACCCAAACAAACATGACCTTGTGTATAATTTTTGTACTTCTAATTCTGAGAATGACATTGAAATAATTTACACTTGTTGCATTAGGTCCATCTAATAGTTTTAGCAAGCACAAATGTAATAAATTTTATAACACAAATACAAATAACTGTGAGACAAAGTAATCTAAAAAAATGAAAGCAACGTTCAATGATGACGTAGAAGCACACATGTGTTTTTTTTGATTGGAATAAAATCAGATAAATCGTCATAGAATAGAGAAAACAATCTTTATTTTTCATTACAACAATTATATAACTCAATATATAATTTTAATGTCTTTCACTCTTCCATGCATCCAATTCTCTATCAATATTAGAATGAATACATGAACAAAAAAAAGACAACATTTGAGAACACAGAGATGCAGGTTGAGACCTTTCAATGGCTAAATTTTATTAATTAATAGTTGTTAGGCTTCAGTGGTTGGGTTTATAATATTTGTTAGCCATTAAAACAAATTCTTTAGTTTCATTTATATTCATTTGATAATTTAAGAATGGACACGTGTCAAGCCTTTACACAAATATTTGACACATTTTTTGAGCATTATTAATGAAATGCTCAGTGTAATTTTTCTCTCTCTTTTTTTTTTTCGCAATTGCAGCCTATTATTTTTAAATAAGAATTTATTTATTTTAGATTGCTTTTAACATAATTTTTTTTCAATGTATTTTTTTTTTCACAATTGCAACCTGTTATTTTTTTAATAAGAATTTATATTTATTTTAGATTTTTGTTAATATACAAAATTTTTTTTAGATTTTAATGAAATACACAGGATAAATTTTTTCCACTTTTTTTTTTCGCAATTGCAACATATTATTTTTTAATAAAAAATTATATTTGTTTAAAAATATTTTTTTAATAGAAATTTTGTTTTCTATTTTTTTTCATATTTGCAACCTTTTATTTCTTAATAAGAATTTATATTTGTTTTAGATATTTTTTTAATTACAAATTTATTTTTTAGTTTTTTTATAAAAATAATTTAACAATCCTATCACTAATAATAGTGTATGGGAGAAGTTGAAAATGTACGACAGTAGGTATAAGAGAAGTCAAAAAGACTTTGGATTGGGAAAAATCAATAAAAGCTGAATTTTTTTCCCCGCAATTGAACCTTGTTTTTTTTAATAAAAATTTATATTTGTTTTAATATTTTTTTTAATATACAAATTATTTTTAAGGTATAATTTTTTTTCTTTTTTTCGCAATTGCAACATATTATTTTTTAATAACAATTTTATATTTATTTTGATATTTTTTTTAATATACAAATTATTTATTTTAGATTTTTCATAAAAATAATTTAATAATCACATCACTAACCATAGTTTTATGGGAGAAGTTAAAAATGACGCGCAGAAGGTATGGGAGAAGTCAAAAATACTTGTGGATTGAGAGAAATTAATAAATGTTGAGATTTTTTATTATTATTTATTTTTAATTCAAAAGTCAAAAAATTAAGATTAAAATATTAGAACTCCCATAAGGTTTAGAAATCCCATTTTTCTTATATAGTGTACAAATTTTAACGTCTTTTAATTAAAAATAAAAACATCAAACATCACACAATGTCATGTAATTCTATATAAATTTTTTATTTTTATAATATTATTCTTATAATTTATTTCACAAATCTTATAAAATGAACTATATATATTGTAATAATAAAAAATGAAGTCCCACTCAAGGAGATGCCTCTATTTTGGTTTAACAATTGTTTTTTTATTTTTTTTATTTTATTATTTTATTTTTTAGGTACCTTCGAATTTGAAAAAAAAATCATATGTTTTGGGTTGGATTTTCTCATGTTGGAGCATTTAAACTTGGTATATTCATTTTGAGACCAATTTTGGTGATTCAAATCGTTTATTTTGTAGTAGAATATTTAGTTAAAATATCAAGATGATCGGATATCGATAATTATGTATTTGCATTAAATTTGTATTACAAAAAATAAATTCTTGAAATTATAATTATCGTCCATTTTTTTAAAACAAATATGATTAAAACATATACTTATCGATGTCCTTAATATTTTGCATGAATATTGTACTCAATGAGTCTTAAAAAGTTAACAATTTAGATTACCGAAATCGGTTAAAAATGAACATACCAAGCCTAAATACTCTCTCAAGTTATAAGTTAAATCGGTTAAGCAAATGCTTTTGTTTTTGGATAAATTACACTCACTTCTCTCAAGATTTTAAAAGGGTATTTGACATAATTTATATAAGTGTACTTATTCAGATAAGTGTATTTATTTGAATTACATTATCTCTTCATTTAACTAAATGTACTTATTTAAGTCACATCTTCTCTTTATTTTTTTATATATCTTTTTGTAAAAAGTCAAAAAATATACTTATTTAAATTATCTCAAATATTAAAAAATTTCCTATGTATAGCAACAAAAAAAAAAAAATCATAATAAAATTATATGGATAGAGAATTTGCTTTTTTGCCTCACCACAAAACTCAATTTATGATATGAGCTGTCCACGTTGTAAGATATTTTTGAGAAGATTAGTCATGTCACAAATTAAATTAATCAGATAATTGAAACTACATTATCTAATTGTGTTTATTTTTTGAAAAATAAAAGACCTATCTAAAAACAAAAATGTTATGGACCCAGATTTTTTGTCTCAAATTTTTCGGAGTGAAGTGTTGGTGTGATGAATATTGAATTGGTATAATGTGAGTCTAAGTATAAAATAAATTTAAGTTATAGATTGATATTTTTGTGTAAATTTTTGGAATTGTAGCATTTGATCTAAAAAGGAAAACCTTATCCTTTTGGATTGTTTTGAGAATTGATTATTTTAATTAATTTTTTATGAATAGACGTGTAAGAATTGACTATTTTAATTAATTTTTTGTTATTAATTTTTTAATTTGTTATAATAAAGAGAAAAGTAGAAAGAATAGTAGCCTTTTTTTAGTTGATGAAGAGTGAATTTTAGAGAAAATTATTTATAAGTCCTATTTGGAAGACTTATTTAATGTGAAATCCTATGAATATTCTTTTAGAGTTTTAAGTCATATTTAAATAAGAACATGTTCCATAAGATCCCATAAATTGTAAATGAATGATATTAGTGTACTATTATACTTCTAATTTGTTTCCATGTTGTGCCTTATCTTTTCATTCATCATATCACATTTGGAAAGCTTTTAGGAAAGACAAGTCTACAAGCAACGACCGTGCGACTTTTTTTCGCCTTGATTGCAGGATTCCAGTGCATTTTCAGCATGTTGCTTAAATGGACGTGGATATGGTCGATGATATGATGAAGTTTGAGAGTTATGTGTACTATCTCTTCTTGAGCCGGAGTAATCACACTCCTTGGGCCGGAGTAACTTTGCCGGAGTAATCTTGCTCTCCTGGGCCGGAGTATCCTTTACGGCCTTTTTTACTCAGTCCTTCGCGTTTTGGGCCTCAAAGCCCAGCTTGCAGCTCGGCCTAATTTTTCCCAAAAATTACCCTCTCAATATATATATATATATATATTGTTGAAATCTATTTCTGTTTGTTGAAGTGTGGATTGTTCATCTTTAATATGGCAATGACAATCTATTATACTCATTGATAGGCACACTTTGACAAATGTTCTGATTGAATGTGTATATTTGATATTGTGATGATTGATACGTTTTGATATGTTCGATGTGTGGGGTGGTGTGTATAGGTTCAAGTGTTGGGTTAGGAGTATTTGGTTTTGGTTGTTAATTGGATGTCGAATGTGAACTACATTGTAGGATGGCAATGGTACATTGGGACCTGAACGATCGTGTTACGAATCATGTTACATTTAGTATGTAACGTTAATCCACATACATCATGTAATAGATGACATTTGTGTGTTTGTTCGGTTGTATATGTGTTTGAATGTGTATTGTGTCTTTATTGTAATTAGTGTTTACATACATGTCACAGTATGTTGTGCAAAATTATTAGGGACTTGTGTTTGTAATTGAATGTGGATTGAATCCCATCGCTTGATGTTGAAGTTATGCTGGGTTGGGAGTGATACTGGTTCAATACATGGGTTAGGTTGAGATATTACATGTTACATTAGGAGGTTACATTATTCATAATTCAACAGTAGAGTATTGGAATGTTACGTTGGGTTTGGGATAAGAAGCATATAGGAATGTCACGATGGGTTTGAGATGTTACATGTTACATTTACGTTGGGATTTGAGATAAGAAGCATATGAGAATGCCACGTTAGGTTTGGGAATGTCACATTAAGTTTGTGATGTTATATGTTACATTTATGTTTGAATTTCAAATTTCCAACTATATAACTATGATAACAATATGTGGTAACATTGGATTTCCCACATATGGTATTGTCATTAATCAAGTTATTTTGAATTTCAAAAATATATGAGAATGTCACGTTTGGTTTGGAAATGTCACATTTGGTTTGAAAATGTCACATTGGGTTTGGAATGTTACATCATTATTTACATTTTGAATTTTAAATTTTCAACCATATAGATATGATCACAATCTAGGGTAACATTGGATTTTCTATATATGGTATTGCCATTAATTAGGTTATTTTAAATTTTAATTTTTTAACCAATATGATCACAATCTATGGTAATATTGAATTTTTCATATATGGTATTGCCATTAATCAAGTTATTTTAAATTTCAAATTTTTAACCATATAAATATGATCACAATCTACGAAACATTGAATTTCTCATATATGATATTATCATTAATCAAGTTATTAATTAATTAAGATTGGAGGTAAATGTGTCCACAAAAAAAATTACAAGACTTATTGGGTTATAAATTTTTTCATAGGATCATATCTTATATAACGTCTTCCAAATAAAACTTATAAATAATTTTCCCTTAATTTTTAAAATTATTTTTGGCTATTTAGTTAATTTTTTAGCTAAAAAGGAAAAATAAAGATAATATTTAACTTTTTCGAGTAGCTATTCTATTTAAATTTTTAGTTTAAAAAAACAATGGATTTGACTTTTTGGGACCAACTCTAGGGGTGTTCGCGGATCGGTTTTGTGCGGTTTGCAGTTCGGTTTTGACCCGCCCGCATCTATGCGGTTTGGAAAAAAGTCAACCCGCAACCACCCGCAGTGCGGTTTGCGGTTTGTGCGGATAGGGTTTGCAAATGTGGGCGGTTGCGGGCGGTTTGCGGTTTACACTTTTTTCTTTAAAAATTAATTTTCGAGTTTTTTTTTTTTCCAGTGAATTTAGGCATCAGATTCTTTTTATATATTTGTGATAACAATTTTTTGATGAGTTTACAAATAAAAATTGAATATCAATGCATTAAATGAAAGTACCCAAAACAAAGAGACTCTACACTAGCATTTTTGCTATGAAAAAAATGTATATCAATGCATTAAAGGTTGTACTCAATTAGAATTGGCAGTTCAGTAATCAATAATCAAACTATAAGTTCTATCGACCATTAGAAGAAAAATTTTATTAGGAAAAAGTGGATGAATCACCAATGAAAATCATATAAGAAATCAAGTTTAGGACTTGATAATTCTACGGCATTAAGAAAGTTGAGAAATACTTAAAAATAAGGATCCTAGTATCATAGAGAATATAATGGTGCTCCTGTAAAAGTTACAAAGTTGGTATATAAAAAAAAATAATAATAATAATAATTAAAGTGTGGGCGGTTTTTGCGGGTTTAAATCGCGACCCGCCCGCAACCCGCAAATTTGTCATATTTCAAACCACATCCGCCCGCATTATGTTTGCAAAACCGCCCACTTATATGCGGGGATAAACCGTTGCCCACCCCTAACCAACTCTCTCTGTACGTGCTACGAGGTCGACAAAGCAGACAAAAAACATTTGAATAAAACAGAATCTAATGGAGATGCGGGGGATCGAACCCCGTGCCTCTCGCATGCAAAGCGAGCGCTCTACCATTTGAGCTACATCCCCGTCTTGATTTTTGTTTCTTATGATTTATATCTATAACGATTCAAAATCTTTTGTCTTACGGCCCACCTACCACTTAAAAAGTTATTTGTTTCAATTATTTTTATTTACCTTTGCTCCATTCTTTCAAAAAAAAAAAAAAAAAAAAAGAAACAAAAAGAGAGGTTATTATGGAACACCAAGATTACACAAATCCTTTATTTTTATTTTTTATTTTTTATTTTTTAAGTACATTAATCATGTTCCAAGCGACCACGTGATATAGCTAATGCAACCCCAACCACCCCCATGCTGCTGTGCTGATAAGCCTTTCCGCCTCCCTGCACAAAAAAATGTCATTATATTTTTATTTTGTGATTAATTTTTTTTGTTTTTGATTTGGGATCACCGGGATTGATCTTTCAAATGTCCGTGAAGAATGTAGCTTTGGATTAATGATCATGTACTGCATTTGGAAAGTCACAATTTAATAAATAAAAAAAAATCAAAAAATCACTACAATTTTTTTTTATAATTATTTTTATCTAATTTTTTATACGTTTTTTGGTTAAAAAAAATTAAAAATAACTAAAAATTTAATTTTCAAAGCAACTCTTAGTTTTGTATTTTATTTAATTTGTTGATCAAACTTTTTTTTTCTTTCTTTAATGCATCTTATGAAACTAACGGGCCCTTAAGAATTTTGCCAAAATTTGTAACTTTTAATTTGTTAGAAATTACACCAAAATTTTATTTGGCGGAGTGAGAAAATAACCCAAAAAATAGAATAAAATAATAAAATATTTCAAATCAAAATAACCTCACACACAAACAAAGAAAAAAGAAAAAAAGATACAAGCAATAAAATTGAAAATCGAATGGCCGGCTAGCGGATTGACAAATTGCGGTTTGGGTGGTTTTTGGCGGATTGAAGAATATTTTAGCTAATTATCATACATTTGCATAATATATAACACTAATTTATATAATATTGTTTAGATATATAGCACACAGTAGTTTTACATAATATGTTTCATATATATAACCACTAATTTATAATAAATTTCATATTTTAAATCTCTCTCACACTCATTTTTACATTGATATTTCATTGAAAATTAAAAAATATATATGTATTAACTATTGTGGAGCGGAGCGGTACGGTTAGCAGATTATAAATTTTAAAGTTTAAACCGCGGTTAGCGGTTAGAACAGTGCGGATTGATGCGGATCGGTGCAATTTTAATAGATTTGACGGTATTTTGCACAGGCCTAGCTGTAAGAGATGGCAATGTGAACAAATCCCCTCTAATCAAAGATGCAACCTTTGTATGTAACACATCCTGAATACTTTTACCTAATTATCTCCCCATAGCAATCAAACTTCAACATCCCACTCGTGATTTGCCCAATTAGCCTTTACTCAAAGAGGGAAAACCAAACAAGTAAGCATTCCTAATCCACCACCTAGCTTTAATTCAGCCTGCTTTTTCATGTGCCACTTTGCTTTTTTAATTCTCTTTAATGATCTCTCTTTTTATGAAGACTCCCACCACCACCATGTTTCTCTAAAGCAACAGAAAGAACCCTTCATGTAATCAATTATTGGAAGCTTATTAAAGAAAAAGTTGTTTTCTTTCTCCTGCAATCATAAAGCAAATTCCACTACATAATCATACCTTTCCTCCCTTGTAAACCCCATTGTTGTCTTTCTTTGTCTCCAAGTTTTGCATCCTCAACTCAAACATCTCCTTCTTCGCTAAGAAAACCGCTTCCATATATCCCCTCTTCAAATTTCCACACAACATTACAAGAGGCAGAGAAGAGGAAGAAAAAGAAGATGAGTGCTGATTGGGGACCGGTGGTTGTGGCAGTTGTATTGTTCATTCTATTATCACCGGGGCTTCTGTTCCAACTACCAGCGAGGACGAGGGTGGTAGAGTTTGGGAACATGTACACAAGTGGGATTTCAATCCTGATTCATGCTGTACTCTATGCTTGTATCTACACCATCTTGATCGTTGCAATTGGCATTCACATACGGGCTTGATTGATCTACCACACTACATAGTTTGCTCCCATAACTGGGATTGCCCTTTAAATTTGCCATTTTTTTTTTTTTTGGTTCTGGGAAACCCCTTCGAATGGGCTTTGTTGTTAGAGAATGTATTATGGTTAGTCTAATGTTTTGGTTTATATGAATGAAGGAAACATGGTACTGAACTTTGTGAATTGCTTTTGATGATAATTACCTTTGTAGTTGTATGTGAAATGTTACGAATTGGTCATTCAACTTAGCCCTAAACTTTCTAGTGTTTGTTTTCAGAAATGGATGACACCCGAAGTATCAATATAGATTTTATTACTACCAAGCTCTCATGATGCACTCAAAATGTAGTCTATATCAATCCTGTACTGAAATTCAGTAGCGCTGGACTAGCATGTGACTTTGTAAACTTAATTAATGATTAGACAAAAATTTAATTCTAACCCACCTTCTGTAAATAGTTAAGTGATAAAAGATGGCACGATTAATGTGTTTTGCGATTCTTCATTTGTTGTGAGACATCACATGACATTATATCCAACATTATGATTTGAAGCAGTTCCCAAATTCATGTATGGTCCACTGAGATGAATAAATTTTAGGGTGCAAATGACTGGGAAAGTCAGCTCTGGGGTAATATTTTTTTTTTGTCAAGATAAGAATTTTTATTTATAAAAAAGAAAAAGAAAAAAAAAAGAAGCGATTTTTGCTCTTTGTCCATTCAGATGATCAGGCTCTGAATTCATGAAGAGAAAAAAGTAACATGAATCCCTATGTATGTATATTATAGTAATCAAATTAATTGATTCAGAGAGAAAAAACCAATACATGACATTAGCATTTACAAGCAGCAGGTACATTTAATTACAAACAGATTACTTAATACACACATCTGCTTATGTAAGAAATTTCTGTTTTTATGCTTTGATTTCACGTACTCAAAAAATAAAAATAAAAACGGAAATATTGAAGAAGAAGAAAAGATACAAAATACACAAAGATGGCATAGAGATCTGGTTGAGTAAAATCTAAGATCTGTATTGTTTTGTTGAAATGGATTGGAGAGAAGAATCAGGTGGCGGTGTAGATGTGGAGATGGAGGAGGACAATGAGGATGGAGTAGAGGACGAAGAAGAGAAGAGTGTGAAGAGCGATGGACTTGTCGTTGGTGTTGAGGCTCCCGAATTCGACAAGGTGGTTCTTACCAGGTATCTGGAACAGCAACCCCGGTGTAAACACCAGGAACAACCAGGGCCGGCCCTGAGTTATTAGGGCCGGCCCTGAGTTATTAGGGCCTAAGGCGAATTTTTTAAATTGGACCCTTCATGTATCGTTACTTTAAAAAAAAAATTGTTTGAATAAAACAAAAAGGATAAAAATTTATTTCTATTGCATTACAATTTAACAAAATTTAGATAACAAATATACATACATATATATATATATATTTATTTATTTATAAAACAGTTGAACTTCAATTAGTTGAAGCGAATCTTTATTTTTTAGCTTACCAATCCTATAAGAACTAAAATTAATTGGGGGTAACGATGAGAATTTTCGACATAACTCAAGTAATATATAAAATTAGTAAGTTAGGGTCGATTATTTTTCATGATCCCTACCATTATTCTTTTTCTAACTCTTGTGAAGAGAAATTTGATTTGTTTTTTCCTATTATAGAGTTATTGACTTATTAACTATTTAAGGTACATCTTTTTTTTTTTTAGGTACATCTTTGACTTTTTAACTATTGTAAACTAGTAATATGCTCTAAACCACAAATGGGACTATTTGTTATAATTTAAACGGTCTGCTTACATTTTATTTTAATTTGGAAGTGTTTATTATTGGTGTAAGTTGTACTTACACAACTTATTAGTTAGAAATAAACTGGAAGAAAAAATTAATTATTTGAAAGCTAAGAAATAATATATTTAATTTCTACTTTTTAATTATTAATTATTTTTTTTATAAAAAAACTGTATCAAATAATACCAATATATAACGTACAAGTTATGATAAAAAATATTAGTTCGTTAGTTGACCCACCTAAAAAAGTTATTTGTTTCAATTATTTTATTTACCTTTGCTCCATTGTTTCAAAAAAAAGAAAAAGAAAAAAAAAAGAGAGAGGTTATTATGGAACACCAAGATTACACAATCCTTTATTTTTAATTTTTAATTTTAATTTTTTATTTTCATTTTTTAAGTACATTAATCATGTTCCAAGCGACCACGTGATATAGCTAATGCAACCCCAACCGCCCCCATGCTGCTGTGCTGATAAGCCTTTCCACCTCCCTGCACAAAAAAATGTCAATATATTTTTATTTTGTGATTAAATTTTTTTTTAATTAATTTTTTGTGTTTTTGATTTGGGATCACCGGGATTGATCTTTCAAATGTCCGTGAAGAATGTAGCTTTGGATTAATGATCATGTACTGCATTTGGAAAGTCACAATTTAATAAATAAATCAAAAAATCAAAAAATCACTACAAATTTTTTTTATAATTATTTTTATCTAATTTTTTATACGTTTTTTGGTAAAAAAAAATTAAAAATAACTAAAAATTTAATTTTCAAAACAACTCTTAGTTTTATATTTTATTTAATTTGTTGATCAAACTTTTTTTTTTCTTTCTTTAATGCATCTTATGAAACTGATAGGCCCTTAAAATTTTTGCCAAAATTTGTAACTTTTAATTTGTTAGAAATTACACCAAAATTTTATTTGGCGGAGTGAGAAAATAACCCAAAAAATAGAATAAAATAATAAAATATTACAAATCGAAATAACCTCACACACAAAAAACAGAAAAAAGAAAAAAGAAAAAAAGATACAAGCAATAAAATCGTCGACAGCAGGGTTCGAACCTGCGCGGGCGAAGCCCAACAGATTTCAAGTCTGTCTCCTTAACCACTCGGACATATCGACTCTTATGTCCACGATTTGCAATTAAATATTTATCTTTAAATATTTCGAAGAAGAGACCACATCTAGAAAGCGTGGTCAGTGGAGGTGTTGCGACGATTGAAAGGTGGTGTGTTTGCTAATGTATTTCTCTCATTGTGTCCTCTACTTAACTTCTTCATTATAACAGTTAAGATTCATTTAAAGATAATTTAATCGCTCAAATCACTTGATTAAAAAAATTAAAAATTAAAAAGTAATTTTTTTAGAATGATCTGAACCATTGAATTTTCTTAAAATGAATCTTAACCATTGTAAGGAGAGAGTGAAGTGGAGAAAGAAAGGAGAAAATCCTTGTGGGGCAATGGATAAGGGAAAGGCGAGGGGAGGGGGGGAAGGGGGAAAGAGAGAGAGAGAGAGATGTTGAGGCGTTACGAATGGGTATGATTGTGCTATGGGGGAAAGAGAGAGAGAGAGAGAGATGTTGAGGCGTTACGAATGGGTATGATTGTGCTATGGGGGAAAGAGAGAGAGAGAGAGAGATGTTGAGGCGTTACGAATGGGTATGATTGTGCTATGGGGGAAAGAGAGAGAGAGAGAGAGATGTTGAGGCGTTACGAATGGGTATGATTGTGCTATGGAAATCAAGTGTTGGGGGAGGTAGTGAAGGAGTCTCAAATGCCAACAAAGTGGTTGGCTTGCAGGGATAAATTTGTGGGCAATAGATAAGGAAAAGGTAGAGAGAGAGAGAGAGAGGGCCTGTTTGTTTTCAGAGATAGAATGGAGGGGATTGATAGTGAAGGAATTGTTAGTGAAAGGATTGATAGTGAGGGGATTAATAGTGAGAAATTGTTAAATTATATTTATATAAAATAATAAAATAAATAAAAATATATAAAAATTAAACACTAATATTTAAAAAAAATTCCCAATATATAAAAAATAAAAAAATTTCTAATCCCCTCACTATTTTTCTAATACCATCTCTACTTCCTCACTATGAATCCTCCTTTCAAGGGTATTAGTAATACCAGGGTATTAGTAATACCAGGGCTATCTCTCAAAACAAATAAGATATTAGTAATACCAAGATATTAGTACTCTCAATTCCTTTTTTATAATTCCAAACAAACGGGGCCTAAGGGTGTTGAGGTGTTACAAAATCAAGTGTTAGTGGAGGGAAAATGCTATGGACCCCAAACAAATTACCAAATTTTCTACCAAGCCTCTTACATGGGTGTGGGATCCATACAAATCAAATATGTGTGGGTCCTACACTCATGTAAGAGATTTGATAAAAAATTTGATAATTTATTTAGAGTCCCTAACATAACTCGTTCGTGGAGGTGGGGTAGGAGTCCTAAATGTCAATAAAGTGGTTGGCTTGCGGGGATAAATTTGCATAGGGAAGTGAATAGAAAAGAAATGAAGGATGAATTTATAATTTTACATAATATTCTTCACCATTTGTAATTATTTTGCATTTTTATAATTTTATTTTAAATTTAAACTTAAACTTAACTTTCATTTGCAAACAAATAAGTTATTAATAACTATAACAATAAAATTTGTATCCCAAAAATAAATAAAATTGAAAATTGACCAGGAGAGGGGACCAACCAATTGATAAGAATAATGCTAAAGGTTGTTGCATGGGGGGGCCTGTGGTGGTGGCATGGCAGCCATACAGTTTTGGCAGTGAGTGGTCTTTTCTCTCCTTTTTATGTCAAGCACGTTTACGTCGATTTTTTTTTTTTTTTTTAATATTCAAAAAAAATAAATAATTCAGAGAGTTGATCTATTTTTTAAACTATTTAAGAAACTAATTTAGTTTTTGAAATCACATTTTAAAAATATAATTTTAAAATTTCATGTTAAAAATACAATTTCAATCAACATGCGATTATAAAGTGAAATTGCATGTTGATAATGTAAAAAAGCAAATTTTCTTAATAATTTAAAAAATGAGTTAATTCTCTAAATTATTTTATTTATTTAGAATATTTTTTTAAAAAAACTCCGTTTACATCCGGATGATACCACTACATAAATCACAAAATCAGGGTGATGACGCACTATTTTTATGTATTTTTTGGTTATCTATATAATAATTATTATTTTTTTAATTACAATTTTCATATTATTAAGTTATATTGATCATCACAAATGATAAAAACTTGCATGGGTCTATACCATAGAATTTCCCAATGAGCACACACATAGTAGAAGGATAATTCTGTTAGCATATATTATAATTTATATGCATCTTTAATTATGACCTTTGTGGT